GATTATAATCTAGTGCCTTTAATTTGCTTTAATTTTGTGGCTCACTTGTATTAAGTTCAGTCTGGTGTCAGCAAGCCATAGACTCTTGAATTTTAAGGAAAGAACTACAGATGCTGTCAGTTTGCTCTTTGTTTATTAATATATTAATTGATTATTGTAACCAGCAAGTACCTTTGAAATGATACTTTACAAAAATAATACTTTATTAGAGATGGAGGTTTTTTAATACTGAGCACCAAACTTTGTATAAACTTGAGTACAGAGTCTAGGGAGACTTGATGTAAAAATTGCTAAAATTTTCTGGTATACTGTGCTGTGGCTGAGGTGACCACAAATGTTCATGTATTGGAACTTTAATTCCTCAAGTAGCAAGGTTAGGAGGCAAGATCTAGGGGAAGTGTTTGGATTATAGGGACAGAGCTCCCATGAATGGATAATGCCTTTATTTTACTCTTGAGTTCCCCCCTCAAGGGATTGTGTTAGTTATTATGAGAGCGATTTGTTATAAAGCATATCCATCCTTCCCTCTTTTGTTCTTGCTCACTTGCCCTTCTGCTTTCTACTATGAGGTAAAGCAGTACTAGGTCTTCACCAGAAGCTCAGCAAGTATCAGTACAGTGCACTTGGGTTTCCGAGCCTCAAATTATAAGCCAAAATGTACCTCTTTTTTTTAATATATATTTATTTCTTAGTTTTAGGTGGACACAGTATCTTTATTTTACATTTATGTTGTGCTGAGGATCGAACCCAGTGCCCCATGCATGCTAGGTGAGCGCTCTACCACTGAGCCACAATCCCAGCCCCCAAAATATACCTCTTTTCTTTAAAAACTACTCAGTCTTACGATCTTATTATAAAAACAGAAAATAAAGAAGTATTTATATTTCTCCTCAGCCCTCTCATACTGTGAGTCTCTAGACAAGTTAATCTCAGAGGAGAGATTCTCAAGACTTATGAACCATGTTTTCATTCTCTTCATACTGTATTTCTTCATCTCAAAAGTAACAGGCTATATTGTTAACCTTACTTGGCTGTTTATTTGAAGTTCCTGTCTTGTTGCTACTATTCATAACCTGCTCTCCATCCTTTGGTTAGAAATAAAAATAGTAGAGATTGTAATTTAGATTGAAGGAGGACATTTGTGAGAAATGTTAATCTTCTATCTTCTGTTTTCCTGATTATATCAGAAGTTAAAAATCAGACTTACAAAGTCCTAGTATAAGAGAAATAGGAAATGGGAAGACCTTCTTGGCCTTCCTGGAGCTGTAAGTCTCCTTAAGGAGAAAAAATATAAACATAAAAAGAAAAAAAAAAACCCACACGGTTTGGGTAACCTATGACAATTTTTATTTTGTAAATACTCAATGCTTTGCACATGGCAGAAAGGAGATAAGACCTTAGGCAATTAAGTTTTATTTAAAGGGGTCTGGAATCTGAGAATTCTGACAGTGAGAAAACTATAAACCATAGTTGTATGAGAACAGGCACCAAGTCTTCACCATTGCCTATTCAGTGTCACCTCTGTCTCTGGCAGGTTCTCAGTTAATATAAGTTAAATAAGTGAATATCTTTATTAAACAAATTGAAAAGAGATAGATACTTGATTTGGGCAAAAGTGAGATCCAAAGACTTGAGAAAATATTAGGAGATAGAAATGATTGTTGAACACAGTAGAAAGCCTACCTGACCAGATCTGTGGGAATGAGCTGGAAGATCTGAGAAAAAAGCTTGCTGAAGGGAGATTGGGATCAAATTAAAAGCATCTTTGATTGCCAGACTTGAGAATTTGAAGTTTGTTCTTTAAGCAGTGTATATTTTGAAGAAATTCTGGCATTGTTTAAGCAGTGTTTTAGGAGGAGTATGATGAGCTCTCTCTGCTTCCTGGCCCCTCCATGAGCTGTGCAATTTTCCTCTGCTGGGTCCTTCCTATATTGATGTGCTGCCTCATCTTGGACCCAAACAAGAGTCAGTCATCTATGCATTGAGGCCTTTGAAACTATGAGCTCCAAATAAACTTACCCACCTCTTTAAAAAAACAAAACAACAACAACAAAAGGAATGGTTTTTTTTTGGGGGGGTGGGGAGCAGGGATTGAACTCAGGGGCACTCAACCACTGAGCCGCATCCCTGACCCTATTTTGTATTTTATTAGAGACAGGGTCTCACTGAGTTGCTTAGCACCTGGCTAAATTGCCGAGACTGGCTTTGAAGTCAAGATCCTCCTGCCTGTGCCTCATGAGCCGCTGGGATTACAGGAATGGGCAACTGTGCCTGGCAAGAAATAGTCTCAATGATACTGTAGGTTATAGTAAGGAAGAGACTGGAGAGCAGCTTTGAGACCAGTTGTTATGTTGGCTAGAAATTCTTTGGAAAAAATAAAATATTTTAATATGTACTACGTTATGTAGAGGTACTTTTTGAACTCTACTTATTGAGCATAATGATATGACTTGTCTTTTTCAGTATTTGGTTTTCCATGGCATTTTGTTATCTTTGTGGCTTTTCTATGAGATCATGGTATAAATTTTGAATGTATTTATTCTACCTTTATTTGCCTTTTATTAATGTCAAGCATAGCGTATAAGACATTTCCTGTTGCTATGCAACTGCTAAATTCAATATTTATTATTAATAAAACTGAGTGGTATTAACATCCAGTGAACAGAGGGTAGCAAAATATAGCTTTACAGATCCAATAATATTTGTAAGGTTTGATGTATTATAAATATGAGCAAAAGAGGAGTGGCTTGTTTATAGTTAATATTTTGAGCAGAATTAGTTGTGGTTAAATATTTTGAGTTTATGACCAGACTTTTGGTTTTTATTTGCTTCCTTTTGGTCTTTCTTTTTCACTGTTTTTTGATCTATGATTAGGTTTTTTTTTAAAGTGTCTGTGTTAATCTATGATGTTTCTCAATCTTTTTTCGTATTCCATTCTTTATAATTTAAAATTTTTGTTCTTCCATAGTCATCTTCTGCACATTTCCTTCGTAGTATTATTTCTTGCTATATTTACATTTTTCCTTTTCTAGAATTTATGCTTAGAATGCATATTTGGAATTTGTTATAATAAACACAGGTAAAAGAATATAGACTTGCTCTTTAGGATAAGAGCTGCCAGTAATTGCTTAGCTATATTTTCAGTGTGTGTTCAATGATTTCTAGATATTTAAACACTTTATATTTGTGAAATCAGAATTCCTTTTTGCAGGGACGTAAAGCAGGAATGCTTAAGAGTTGGAGACAAGCTGTAAGACTTATTTTGGAGTAATTGCTGAGAATATCTGGTTCCAGGGCTAAGAGGATAGATAGCATCTAGCAATTCCTTTTCATTATTTCACCACCAGCCCTCTGCCTGCACAACCTCTGACCCCAACACTTTCTCCTCCCTAATGTGGGGAAGAGCAAAGGACCATAGTAATTTAATGGAAAACATTTTAATTATAGTAGGTAAATAATAAGCAGGCATAAGTACCTCTCATTTGTTGGAGTGGGTAGTTTGCTAATGTCTTCGGATAGCAAGAAGTAAGGAGAATTGAAAATCATTTGCTCCCCTAATAGTAAGTGAAAAAATCTACAGTTTTAAAATAGTGCAGAAAAAACAATTCTCTAATTACAATGTAGATGACACAAACTCTGGAGGTTACTCTGTTGAAAATGATGGCTTACAATGTTATTTTTATAGCCAGATGAACAAGATACTGTTTCTAGGGATCATCTTGTCTACCCCCTTAATCTTTCAAGTACTTTATTGTTTTATATTTAATATGTTGTGTTTGTGGTAAAGAAATGGCTTATATGTTTGAGCCTCAAAAATGTCCAGTAGCCTATATATTATTAGTGATTCCTTTATCCTAAATATAAAAGTGCTCTTTAACAATTTTAAAAAATTACAAGGCTTCAGATGATAATGGATTATCTGACAAAATACACCATTCCTGAAAATACTAGGAATTAATTTAACTCTTTTTATATTAATTACAATAGAATATCTGTGTATTTCAAAAGTATTATGTACACCAAATGTGCAAGACATACTAATTCTCTTTAAAGGTCATGGTTAGTGTGCATATGGATTCATGTAATAAGTATTTGAGCCCACAGTGAGGTCTTTGACACATAGTTTGGGAACCAGTGCTTAGAGCTTTATTCCTGGTATATTGTATAAAGCTATAATCTAATTCCCTTCCATTTAGTCTCTTCATTCTTTCTTTAACAATCCAGAAAAATTAGCAAGATGTTTTCATTAAATAGACCAGCAAAATTTGTGTAATAAAGTTAGAAAAACTGCTTATTTTTTAATTTTCTATTTTATTCATGATGTAGAAGGATATGAGAGTTTTAAATATTTGTGTACAGGTATATTTGAATTTTTTTCTCCTCTTTTTTGTATATATAATTAGTGATTTTTATCTTTGTAAAGGAACTAAAAAATAGTTTCACCTTGTTGGCAATATGAAATTTGGAGTTCTTTTTTCTAAAAGATTGTGTGTGCATATGAGAAAGAGAGAAAGTTGTTCTCAGTGAGGATTTTCATTTAAGAAACTATTAACTTGAAAAAGTCTATGATCTCAATTGGTATTCAGAAAAATAATAATGTTCTAGGGTATTCTAGAACATTGTGGAAGTTCTCAAATACTTTTACTCTTCAGTGAGAAAGTTGCCCTTTAAAATGGAGCTTGAGAGTTAATGTAAAAATTTTGTAGAACAAGCAAGAGAAACTCAGTTTCCATTCTTCCATTAATTATTTCTGGTGTCTTTTTTCTTTCTTGATTGTGCCCTGAATTTTTGTTGATTATTAATCATTAACAAATGCAAATGCTCCTTCTACATTTGTCATTGACACTTTTTCTTTAGCATCCCTTCAATAATAATAATCTGGGATCCTTGAGAACTGGAGAAAACATCATCATTTTTCTTGTAACCAATCAGTATTACCATAGTGGATATTATATTATTGTGATGATGGATTCTTTTTTTTTTTTTTAAATCCTTTTTAGGGTTTGAAAGTATTCTTGAAGGGCTGTTTGGACCTGCATTATTAAAAGATCTCAGTTTATTTAAAGGTATTCAAAATATTTTTGGTATTTCAGATTATTCCTGGTGACAAATATGGTACCTTGGTAATTTAAGCTTTATGTCTCATCATTTTTATTTGCAGTTTTATGAGGGTTAAAGCTATCTTCATGTAAGCTTTGTGTGTGGGGGGGTGGGGGCGTGTGTTTAGTTGATATTGTTAATATATGCATGATTAGCACATACCAGTGAGCAGTTAGGTGAAGAATTTTGAGTTAAGAATTTTAAGACTTAGCTGTTGGTATAGTTCATTACCCTGTACCCAGTTTTCAGTGGTAGAGAACATTCTTAGATGTATATAGAAGGCTCTGGGTTTAAAAATTTAAGATAAAAGAATTTGAAGACATAAGAAGCATGTCTACTCTTAGTGAAGATTTTGTTAAACAGTGTTTTTGAAATTAATTTATTTTCTTAAAAATTCAACTTTATGATTATTAATTTGTCATTCATTTTATTTTTAGAGTGTGAACCTGAAGGCATTTCTGATTGGACTTTTGATGAAAATTGTCTGTTCTGTTGCTTGAGAAGAGATAAAGTAAAGGTAACCAAGAAGTTTGTGAAACTTGTGTAAAATATTTTAAAGTTTCTTAAAAAAAAAAAAAAACAAAAAAAAACAAACTTATCACTTTGTTAGAGGATTTATAGGAAAGAGAAAGTGTTTAAAGGGTTTTTGATAGTAACTTTGCATTTTAAACTGTTTCTTGTCTGTTGGTTATCCTTCTGAGAAATCTGTATCCCAGGATGCATTTATTTATATAGTTCATTAGGCAGAATAATTAAGTTTATCCTGATATGAAGTTATATGACAATTCAAGAAATGGGATTCACTTTTAGTACCAAAAAACCAGTAACATAGATCTTGATCAAGTATTTAATAATTCATATATTTATTATATACTGTGGTTTATACCTTAAAGTAAGATTCTTTTTGGGTCATGAATGCTGTTTGTATTCAGTTGTAGAAATTAGCTGAACTTTTGTGTTTTTATCATTGTATTGCTTTGTGTCAGACAGGCTTTTGGTTTGGAAATATTTCAGTTATTGAAACTGTTGATAATGATTTACTGTCTTGTAGTTTTTTTCATACTACTTACCCCCCCTTTTAAATTTTTTTGTAGTTATAGATGAACAGCATGCCTTTATTTGTTTATTTTTATTCGGTGCTAAGGATTGAACCCAGTGCCTCATATGTGCTAGGCAAACACTCTGTCACTGAGCTACAACCCCAGCCCTGTGTTTCCTATTTTAAAGCCAAGGAAACATTTTGAGTCTTCCTCCTTCTGTGTACACTGAATTTAAATCCTTGACCAGGTTCTCTCAGTTTCTCTCTCTAATGAATTTCCTTCTTTTTCATTTCTACAGTGAAATTACTGTGAAACGGTAATAACCATAGTTCAGACACCAGTCACTATTTCTGGACCACTGAAATAACATGACTGGTCCTTCTCAGTTTTCTTCAGGCTTTTAAATACTACTATTAAGTTAAACTCCTTACCCCCAACCATCACCCCTCAAATAGTGTGGAAGTATTACCCTGTACTCAGTTTTCAGTCACTTTCTCATTGTCTTCTGGATCCACCACCCAATTCTTAGTGTGACTCAGTACCTAGCACAATTCAGTCTGATTTTCTTTCTAGTATTCTATATAATTTCCTTTGAACTAAACTAAAAATCTGAGAAATTTAGTCTGATCATTTGTATTAAACAACATGTTTTTACTAGTCTTTGGACTGTACCATTGAATACTTGTTCTCTCTATCTTGAAAGTCTCTTGCTTTTACTCTAAGCCCTCCCCCGCCCCATATGTAGTATATCTATGCTCTAATGCTGTTTAATCTTTTACTCTGGTTTTGTTGTTTGTTTTGGTTGGTCTTGGTACTGAGGATTGAACTCAGGGGTACTCAGCCACTGAGCCACAATCCCTAGCCCCCTTTTTATATTTTATTTAGAGACAGGGTCTCGCTGAGTTGCTAAGTGCCTCACTAAGTTGCTGAGGCTGGCTTTGAACGAACTTGCAATCCTCCTGCCTCAGCCTCCTAAGCAGCTGGGATTACAAATGTGTGCCATCACACCTAGCTGTTTTGTTTTTGATGGGATGTTTTGTTTTGTTTCACTACTGAGGATCCAGTCTCAAACAGTTGATCTAAATGCCCAACCTTTTTAAAAATTTTGTTTTGAGGCAGGGTCTATTAAGTTGCCCAGACCAGCCTCCAAACTTGCCTCAATCCTTTTATCTCAATCTCCCGAGTAGCTGGATTGTAGGTGTGCACCAATGTGCCTGGCTTTCATGCCGTTGTTATAAATTTTATACAACTAATTATTTGACATTTAATATTCTGCCTTATTCTGTTCATCCTTTTCTATGTTTGAATTTTGTGTTGTTCCTGGTTACATTTGTCAACTGCTGAAGTCTGGACCATGCCATATGCTTCTTTGTTCCCCTTAGTGTAGTTAACACTGCTTGATTGTTGGCAAGTTGCTTAAAATCTAAAGCCACAACAGTTTCTTAATATTATTCTTTTGTGGCATCTTTTTCTTGTCCCCCACCCCCACCCCCCGAATGAAAAAGTTGTGACTCTCTGAAATGGTGTGTTTTCATTGAATTGATGAGGAAGTTTTGAAGTTTAATTTCTTTTGAAAGCAACCAGAAAATGAACGATGTTGTTCTGAGTTAAACTACCAATGAAGTTGAAAATCATCATTGTAAACTGTGTGTGTATTATGCGCATCTTGGCTTTTAATGAGTAAATCATTTAATATGAATTTTGGTAGAGTAGAAGAAAGAGCGATTGTCTTTAACAGGTTAGGATTGAGAAGACAGCCATTCTGTTTGGCAGTTGAGTACAGTATTTCTTGTAATATGATTTAAGAGTTTTCTATTGCTGCATGAGGCTAAAATATTATATGAATATTAGGAGAAAATGCTGAAATAGAAATTTATGGAACATTACAACATTTAACCCCCCCCCTTTTATAACTGTTTGAAGTTTTACAGTTTTTAACTACTTTTCTGAGTAGAAAGTATATTTCCAATTGACAACTCAAGAGCTAGTTCCAGAAAACTATTTTTCTTCATTAGATATATACTATTTTTCTTTGTCATTTATTGTTTTCACAGAGACCCATACAGCTATAATGGAGAGTAGGAAAGACCCTATATTGTGTGAATTGTCATGTATATATCTTTTTGTTGTGGGATTCTTTGTACAAATCAGAGCATCTCAACTAAGAAGGATCAGAATCTGGAAATTAAGTGTATCCATTGGGATAAAGGTTAAACTTGAAAAGAAAGTAAAAAAAACCTTGGAGAAGAAGAAAATATCAGGCTGAGCACAAGTGGAACAACCTCGTAATCCTGGCTAATTGGGATTGTGAGATAGGAGACTGCCAAGTTTGAGGCCATTGAAGTCCACTTAGTGAGACTCTGTCTAAAATAAAGTTTAAAAAGGGTTGGGGAACATAGCTCAGTGGTACAGCATGAGGCCCTGGTTTCAATTCCCAGTACCACAAAATAAAAATAAAAAGCAGATGTGGGGGTGGGGTGGAAAGTGAAATATCTGGAAAGTGTGGTAATAACCAATAGATGGCAGTATTGAGCATGATATTGGAATCCTGAGTTTCAGGTTGGCATGATGACATAATTTAGGTAGTGTTTGGAAAAGCAGTTAGAAATAATGGTCTGATATTTGAGTAGGAGATGGAAGTTTTGTGTATTTTTTAGTTAATTGGATTTTCAGTGAATACTGAGGCTGTTAGAATGAGTAAAATAAATACATGTGTTTTCTTCATAAAACATGTAGGTGAAAGATACAAAATAGTCTGCAGAGATTGTCTAAAGATTAGAGTAGTCTCCCTTATTTGGGGGGTGTGCATTCCAAGAACTCCTCCCCATTAGATGCCTGAAACCATTAATATATATCTAGATATATTAGTATTAAACCATATATATGTAGATATATCTATATAGATAGTGTATTTTCATTGAATTGATGAGGAAGTTTTGAAATTTAATTTGGTTTGAAAGCATCCAGAAATTGCACGATGTTGTTCTGAGTTAATATATATATATATTAACTATCACAGTAAATAATTGTAAATGTTGTTTTTATAATACTAGTTTTTCATCATACAGTAATTTTAGCATCTATTGATAAATATTGCCTTATAAAATATTACTGTGATTATGTGACAGTTAATGTGTGTATACACACACAACACATTGTGCAGTAAAACAGTTGTGGCATACTTTAAGATCCTACAAAGGTTAGAGATATAATTTGTAAGGGGAAAGCAGCTAACATTTCATGAACATCTATTTTGTGCCAGTTACCTTTATGTGTTACCATTTAATCTTCAAAACAACTTATAATGAAGTGGTTAAAGGTATCCCAGTTTTATAAATAAAGAAGTGTAGGGCTGGGGTTGTGGCTCAGTGGTAGAGCGTGTGCCTTGCATGTGTCAGGCACTGGGTTTGATCCTCAGCACCACATAAAAATAAATAAAGGCATTGTGTCCATCTACAACTAAAAAAAAAAATTAAAAAAAAATGGGAAAGGTCAGGAAGTGAGATTGTTATAGGTAGAATCACATAGCTGGGATTTTATTTGTTTTTAAGAGTTCATACAGTTTAATAGCAACAGAAGGGACAGGATTGGGGGAAGTGGAAAGCAAGGTAAAACAGGATTTGGCATTACTTAGGTGGACAGAGGGAGAGAATATGAAAGTAACTGAACTTGACCATATTAAAAGGTCCAGTCTTAGCTGTGTTAGAAATCTGTGTTTGCTTCACTGACTGACTGCCTGACTTGTTTGGTTGCATCTTTCCTTCTAATTGGGTAAAATGTAGATACCCGATAGAATATAATAGGTGAGGGACTAAGAAGTTGGAAAGCTTCATAAACTTGGCAAAGTATAATGTTAATAGCTGTTTTGAGTGCTTCCACATGCCAAGTATATGTTCACAGTTCTCTTTTTTTATTACCTAGTCATCAGGGTTTTAAACTTTTTTGGCTTCTTTTAAAAATAGTAGTAGGCTTCTAAAGAAGTTGCAAAAATCATACAATAAATTCCTATGTACCCTTTAGCCAGATATCCAAATGTTTTTATGTAACCTCCGTATAATTATAAAAATCAGGAAATTAATATTAATTCAGCACTATTATATGTTCTGCACATCTTTAAAAATTAACCAGTTACTCCAGCAATATCCCTTTTCTGGTCCAGGAGCCAATCTAGAATCACATTTTATATTTTGTTGTCATATCTTCTTTAGCCTGCTATAATTCTCAGTTTTACTTTGCCTTTCTTAATGTTGATATTTATGATGAATACCGGCAAGTTGGTATGTAGATTTTACCTCTCTGTTTGGTTGTACCCAAGAGTCCTCATGACTGAAATTCAGCTGTACATTTCCAGCAGGAATTCCATAATACTGATATTGTGTTATCCTTAGTACACCATGTCAGAAAGCATGTGAGCATGTTTACTATGATCACTTGGTGAAGGTGTTATCTGTCAGTTTCTGTACTAAAAGATATTTATTTTCCCTTTTTACTTAATATATTTATGGAGAAATACCATGAAATTTTGTAAATATTCTTTTAGAATACTAGTTTTTCATCATACAGTAATTTTAGCATCCATTGATAAATATTAACCTTATAAAATATTACTGTGATATGTGACAAAATCATGATTTTTTTTAACCTTATTTCCTCAGTTTTTATTAGTTGTCATTCTACTGGAAAGAAGAACTTTGCTTTTTCCTCCCATTTGTGTATTTGTTTTTTAATCTTTCAGTATGAACTGTGGATTCTTATTTTATACTAAAAATTATAATTCAGTACCATCTTTGTGTATTTTGCAGTTCAAATTATTGCAGGCCATTAAGAGCCCTTTCATAGGCTGGAGTTGTATTGTAGCTCAGTGGTAGAGCACTTACCTAGTACATAAAGCACTGGATTTGATCCTCAGCACCACATAAACATAAATAAATAAAATAAAGGTATTATGTTCATCTTCAACTAAAAAATATTTTAAAAGGGAAAAAAAAGTCCTTTCATGCACTTTTTTTTTTTTTTAACCTGTTTCTCTCTCTTTTTTTTTTTTCTTTCCTCCCCACAACCCCAGCACTTATACACTGTTAGTACCAAAAGATGCCCCGGAGTTATCTATGCCTTCACTGTCCCAGCCCTGGGTTTCTCCAAGGAGCCTACTTCCTTTTAATTGAAGAATTGCATAAAAATGTAAGGTGTTGGCATCATGAGTACTCCGGATGTATGTTACTGAAATACACTGCATCTGTATTTTCGGTGTCTGACTATTAAAAACCATTTCATGAAACGGTTACTGATTGCAGATTGTGTTGAAGTGGGTATGATGAGCTGATAACCATAGTAATGAAAGTATGCTGGAAAGATAGAAAAGATAAGAAATTTCTTTTAGTATTTAATGTTCCTAAAAATGGACTCAACTCCAAGTGAATAACCTATTCTTGTGTATGGCTAAAACAGAGAAGAGGTAGCTATTTTAGTGGTACATGGATGATTCCCTAAGGATGATGGGAGAGTAAGATATTATACCAAAACATAAAATTAGTTTATTATAAGGCTTTAGTAGGTTTAGTGTTTTGATTGGCATATCAAAATAAGAAGTTAGGAACTTGAGCTGTGTTTTTGAAGAATGCATAGTTCTGGATAAGCAGAGAGGAGAATGGCTACATTGTGGATAGAGCAGAGCATTTATTTTTAAAAAGTAACCAGTGACCACATACAAACAAAGATGTTGTGACTGCCAAAAACTGAAAAACAAATATTAAAAAAAATTCTCTCTCTCTCCTTGAAAAAAAAAAAAAAGTAACCAGTGACATGGTTGGAGCCAGATTATACATATCCTTCAGTGCCCAGCTAACTCATCAGTCATGTAACTAGATCCTTTTCATGTTTGTTATTATTTCATCATGTTGTGCATGTTTGTACTGAACATTTCATAGTTCTTCTGATTCATGAACATGCTTTAATTAAAATATCATTTTAATATCTAAATGTTTACTGCTTTTTTAGTACAGTGAAAGTTTATAGTAAGATGCTGGGCATGATGGCACATACTTACAGTTCAGTAGCTTGGGAAGCTGAGACAGGAGGATCACAAGTTCAAAGACAACATTGGCAACTTGGAAAACCTGTTGGTCATTTGGTTGGTTGGTAGGTAGATAGATGGATGGATAGATAGATAGGGAGTGACTTAAAACTGGGGATGTAGTTTAGTAGGAGAGAACCCCTAGGTTTAGTCCACATAGGGTAGGGGGCAGGTAAGAAAGAGAATGGGGTTATAGTTCAGTGGCAGAGTGATTTTTTTAGCATGAGAGAAGCTAGGGTTCTAGTCTAAAGCACTAGTGTACACACACACACACACACACACACAAATGTTTATAGTAGCAGTTACTAAATCTAGCTATTTTCTCATTGTATTGAATATATTACTTGGGGCGTATTCCATCCTGCTTGGTGTGGCTTGCCTTTTATATTGTCCCGGAGTACCAAAAATCAGTATGTATTCACGGTACCTATTGTATGCAGGGAACCGTGGAAGAATCCGTGTAGTTCCTTTCTACTATGAGAAAGAAGAAACAAATATTAGACAGTTAAGTAATATTTATATATGAGATTTAAGTTGATACAGAGTTAAACAGATACTACTTGGCTAAGGGTACAGCTCAGTGGTAAAGAGCACTTGCCTATCATCCTCGGGAACCTGGGTTCAGTCCCCAGCACTGCCAAACCCAAAATAGTAACAACATATTGTACAAATGAGTACATGATTAATGAGTTGCTCAGTTAATTGTACATATCTAAATTGGGACCTCATCTTCTTCAATTTCTAGAACTTTAATATATATTATTTTTAAAAATTTTTTTTGACAAAGTGAATTAATGCCTAGCCCAAAAGCTCCTTTCTTAAATATCAAGAGGGTTTCCTTCTTCCATTCTACAGAGCAAATAGAGTTAGAGAAACCATTAAATGGTAATTAACTCTACTTTGTTCAGTTTTATATGATTAGAGTTAATTAACTGAGTAATTAGCAATTTATTAACTATTTGGTTCTGTAATTGGCCGTAGAGGTTAACAGAAGTCAAAGACCAGATCTGCCTTTGTTTGTGGAATGTTGAGGAGACCATGGATGATTGAAGCAGCTAAACCTATAGTCCATCAAGAGATTCAACTCATCCTTATTATTCACTCAGCAAAACTCTCATGTACGTAGGAAACTTTGAGAATGGAATCTTCTTCATTTTTATATATAATATTTTAGAAGATACTGGATAATACAAGAAAATATAAATGTTACAGCAGTTAAGAGGTGCAATAGATGATACTGACCGAGTTGCTTAGTCAGGAGGTGAAACACAACTTGTCCTTAAAAGGAGATCTGGCTGGGCACAGTGGCACAAACCTGTAATCACAGCAGCTTTGGAGGCCAGGGCAAAAGGATGGCAAGTTGAAGGCTAGCTTCAGCAACTTAATGAGACCCTATCTCAAAAGGGCTGCGGATATAGCTCAGTGGTCAAATGCTCATGGGTTCAACACCAGGTATTAATAAAATAAAATAGTCTAGAGTGATTGATTTGCTCATTGTTTGTAGAATGTAGGAGGCAATTTATAGTGAGAATTTATTGGAAGCTCTTATAATAATCCTGAAAATGAGCCTGGACTACAATGGTGACAGTGATTATTATGCACAGGCAGAGATGTATGTAGTGAATCTGGAATAAAATATTGCCTGTACTTAATGATTGCATGATTGTATAAATAAGAGATTAGAAAATGACAATTGTTACTGACTCTAGGCTTTGAATCCAAGATGGCTTATGAGAAAGGGAGAAGGTGAGGTCGCCAATTTTATAGAGTAAGACAGGGTTGTGTAAATTGAGTACATATACAAGGTCTAGAATGAATACTTATTTGCAGAAGTTCAAATACATATAATAATGAGAATATCTAAGGAAGTGAAATTTTTGAGGGGTAAAATACAAAACACCTAGACTCACAGAAGAACTTCATTTTTGGAAGTAGGAAGAAGAAGAATCAGATTGGAAAGAAAATAGAATTATAGAATAAATAAGATACTTGTTTTGCATCAGATATCTTTCAGGAGCCATGCTGTGAAATGACTAGGGGGGTGTATTGTAATGTTTGCTGTACCATTTCATAGAATGAACCTTACATGAATTGAGCAAGTACCCTAAAAAATATTTTGAAAGCATAGTTTCTCAAGACTACTGATTGTGGGAGCCAGACAATAAGTCTGACATAAAGTAGGAGTTGTGGCAGTTAATAGGATATACACTAATAGTTTGAAAAGTTGTTAGAGAAAGAAGTGATGAAAACAGGAACATAGAAAGAATAAGAAAAGGATTTAGGAGGCACAGGGAGCTTAAATAATATTTATACTCTTGGAAGAAGCCAGAGGAGAGGAAGAAATTAAAGCTATTAAGAAGGAACTGTTGAAGGAGGCAGAATTGTAAGAAAACCAACAAGAAATTAGTTACTGAACAGTAATAGAAGATTAATGTTAAAATTAGAATATAGTCAGTGTAACTGGGGATCTTAAAATTGTCAGGAATTAGTAAACAAGGCAAGAATGCCTCAGTATAAGAACCCTCATGGACTGACACATTCATAGTGAGAGCAGAGAATAATGAGAAACTTTTATATAATGAATTTTGTTTAAAAACATAATAAGGGGAAAATAGACTGTCATAATAAATCTTGCATGGATTTGTTGTTCAGAAACTTCAGTTTATACCAGAAACAAAAAAAGGTAGTTTCAAGAAAAGTACTAAGAGTGCCTGGTTTAGCAAAGCATTTTTAAGCAGGAGAAAATTACTAAAGTTAGATAATAAACAAGATCTTGTTTCTTAACAGTGTTGCATTATGTCAGTGTAAAAAATCAGAAAATTGGATAGACATTAAGGTACCTTTCAACTCTAAAATTCTCTGATTCTCTAAAAAAATATATATTTTTTGATATCTTACTTGGAGATTCTTATAATTAATCAGTGCCATGAATAAATTTAGAATATCCCAAGTCATACACAAAAATTGAATTAGAGTTACTGTAATTTTAAAAAATATTTTTTAGTTGTAGATGGACACAATACTTCAATTTATTTTTATGTGGTGTTAAGGGTCAAACACAGTGCGTCACACACTGAGACACTGTACCCCAGCTTAGAGAGTTATTATATTGTTCCTCTGTTTCATTTCAGTGTCTTATATGGAGTCAGTCTGTCATTCCTGCCTGCCTGTGAGTGTAGGTCTCACTTTTTTTCCCCTTCATGAACTGCTGTTTGCCCTTTGTGCTTTCTCTTTGTTGTCTCCTCTCTATTATGAGAACTTACATGTATTTGGCTTCTCTTCCTTCATTCCCTATTCTTGTTAGCCATTTGTATATTGTCCCTGGAGAAATGTCTATTCAAGTCCTTTCCCCATTTTTGAATCTAGTTGGTTGTTTGTTCTTGTTGAATTGTAGTTTATGGTGAACATTTGATTTGCAAATATTTTCTCTCATTTCATACATTGATTTTCATTTTAAGAGTATCTTTTGATGCACAGAATGTTTTCATTTTGATAAAATACAAATTGCATTTTTTCTTCTTTCCTATGCTTTTGGTGTGCCATATTCAAGAAACCTTTGTCAAATGCAATATCATAAAGCTTTAACCTGTTTTCTTTTAAGAATTCTATAATTTTAGCTGTTAAATTCAGAGTTTTGATTAATTATAGATTAATTTTTATATATAGGGTACATAAGGGCTCAGTTTTGTTCTTGTGCATGTGAATATTCACTTTTCCCAGCATCATCAGTTGAAAAGTGTGTCTTTACCCCAATCTAATAATCTTGTCACCTTGTTGAAAATATCTATGTGTTTTAGTCAGCTTTTTCATTGCTGTGACCAAAAGATCTGACAAGAACAATTTTAGAGAAGGAAAAGTTTATGTGGCACTTAAGAGTTTCAGAGATATCAGTTGATAGACAGCTGACTCCCTTGTTCTGGGCCTGAGGTGAGGTAGAACATCATGGTTGAGGGGTATAGAGGAGGAGAATGGCCCAAGACAATGCAAGAGAGAGCTCTGCTCACCAGGAACAAAATATACCTAAAGGCATCCTCCCAATGACTTATTCCTTCCAGCTACACCCTGCCTGCCTTCAGTTAACACCCAGTTAATCCATATCAGTGGATTA